TTTCTTTTTTTATTTTCATTTTTGGTGCCAATACTAGAACTTGAACTCCCTCACTTGGCTTTTTCCAATCAGGCCTGGTGCTCTACCACTTGAGTTATATACCCTTTGGTTCAATAATTGTTTCTTAAGGGGCTAGGAAGGTGGCTCAGTGGTAGAGTGCTTGCCTTGCATGCATGAGGCCCTGGGTTCGATTCCTCAGCACCACATAAGCAGAAAAAGCTGGAAGTGGTGCTGTGCCTCAAGTGGTAGAGCACTAGCCTTGAGCTGAAGAGCTGAAGGACAGTGCCTAGGCCCAGAGTTCAGGCACCATGACTGGGAAAAAAAATTGTTTCTTATGTAAGAAACCAAAAATACACTCAATAAGAGTGAAAATGGTGTACTTTGGACTCAGCAAAATTATAAGCCTTCATTCTTTATTTTTTTTAATTGATTTTTTTGTGTGTTTTGAGTCAGGGCCTTGCTTTGTATTCCAGGCTGACGAATTCACTTTGTATCCTCTGGTAACTCATAATCTTCCTGCCTCTGCCTCCCAAGTGATGGAATCACCATGTCTGGCATTAAATTTATTTCTAACAACTGCATAAAAATGTAAATATTTGTACATACCAATATGTTGCTTATAATGTTTTGATTAAAATATGTATCGCTTGATGTTTAAATCAGGTTAAAAGCCTAAATGTGGTAATTCTGGCTTTTCTCCATGTGTGTTATCAATGGTAATCTAGAGGAGTGCTATTTCATTAATCGTTAATTACTTACTTCTCCCTAGAGAGATGTAGACTGTATAACAGAGGCTAGAGATGAGTGTGCACAGCAAAACTCTGGATTTGAATATTAGCTTTGTCATCCACTACTTGTGTGACCACCAAGTTACTTACCCCCTAAGAACACTGGGTTTCTCCCTGCTAAATTAGGAATACTGAATAACATGTAGCTATTCAGTTACCTTGGTGGTTAAACCCTCAGACAGGATCCTGGAACATTCACAATTCAAGAAATTAATCTTTTCCTTGAAGTGTTTTAATATGATACCTATTGCATTCCTTCAGAGGCAAACTGATCTTTCCTGGGAAAATGTCAAGAGTATCAGCCATGATTTCTCTCTGACTCCTTTTCTAGCATGAAATGTATAGGGACTGGAGTTCAGTAAACATTTCCATTTTTCCTTCTCACTCTTTCTGAGAAGGGTTTTTATCTTCTATATGCTGAGCTTGACTTTTGAATAAACTCAATTCTTCCCTGGCTTCCCTGGATATATGCAGTAACTTAATCCTTGGGAGAAATCAAATGCCTTCCTCTCATGTCCTGTCTTGACCCTGAACCTCATTTCCTTCATGTTAGAAATGCTGCACTACCTATTTAGTTCTTCTAGGAGGAGAAATCTAGCAAAAGATTTCTTGGTTAAAGAATGTTAATTTAGCCAGTCGCTGGTGGCTCATGCCTGTAATCCTGGCTACTCAAGAGGCTGAGATTTGAGGATCATGGTTCAAAGCCAAACTGGGTAGAAAAGTCACTGAGAGACTCTTATCTCCAATTAAGCAACAGAAAATCGGAAGTGAGCTGTGGCTCAAATTGGTAGAGTGCTAGCCTTGAGCAAAAGAGCCCAGGGACCCAGCTCCTGAGTTTCAAGCCTTACAAATGACAAAAAAATAATGCTAATTTGAGCTGGGCACTGGTGGCTCACGTCTAGCTACGCAGGAAGCTGAGATCTGAGGATTGATGTTTGAAGCTAGCCTGGGCAGAAAAGTCCCTGTGCCCTCTTACCTCCAATAAACTACTCAAAAAAGCAGGAACTGATGCTGCGCCTCAAGTGGCAGAGCATTAGCCTTGATACAAAGAGGCTCAGGGACAGCGTCAAGGCCCTGAGTTCAAGCCCAGGACCAGCAAAAAAAATGTTAATTTGCTGGTGAGGTGTGGTAGCATACATGTTCACAGTCCCAGCACTTGGGAAACCATTACAGGAAGAGTACAAATTTGAAGCCAGCCTGGCTTATATGAAGAGAGACTCTATTTACCCCCCCCCCCCCCCCCCCCCATCATCATCATCATCATCATCGACACTTGTTGCTTTGTTTGTTTGTTTGTTTGTTTGTTTGGGTCCGGTCATGGGGCCTGAATTCTGGGCCTGGGCGCTGTCCCTCAGCACTTCAGCTCAAGGCGAGCGCTCTACCACTTGAGCTACAGTGCCACTTCCGGTTTTCTGGTGGTTTATTGGAGATAGGAGTCTCACGGTCTTTCTTGCCCGGGCTGGCTTTGAACCGCGATCCTCAGATCTCAGCCTCCTGAGTAGCTAGGATTACAGGCCTGAGCCACCAGCGCCCGGCTCCGCCTTTTTTCTTTTTGCTTATGTGGTGCTGAGGAATCGAACCCAGGGCCTCAGGCATGCAAGGCAAGCACTCCACCACTGAGCCACCTTCCCAGCCCCTGCATTTTTATTGTTATTATAAAGGTGATATACAGAAGGGTTACAGTTACATAAGTCAGCTAGACTACTTTTCCTGTAATTCAGATACCATTTGAAAATATACTTCATGCTGCTTTTTTTTTTTCCCCCCCTCCAATCCTGGGGCTTTAACTCAGGGCCTGGGCACTGTCCCAGAGCTTCTTTACTCAAGGCTCGTACTCTACTGCTTGAGCCATAGTGCCACTTCCAGCTTCTTCTGTGTATATGCTATTGAGGGATCAAACCCAGGGCTTCCTGCATGCTAGGCAAGCACTCTACCACCAAGCCACGTTCCCAGCCAGAACTCAGCATTTTTTTTTTTTTTTTTTTTTTGTTGTTGTTGTTGTTGATGTTGTTGGACGTGGGGCCTGAACTCTGGGCCTGGGTGCTGTCCCTCAGCTCTTCAGCTCAAGGCTAGCATTCTACCACTTGAGCCACAGTACCACTTCCGGTTTTCTATGAGATAAGAATCTCACGGACTTTCCTGCCTGGGCTGGCTTTGAACCTTGATCCTCAGATCTCAGCCTCCTGAGTAGCTAGGGTTACAGGTGTGAGCCACTGGCTCATGGCTACACCCCCTCTATAAATACAGTGTATTCTTTGTGGCCAAATGCCACAGAGTAAGAATTCGAAAGTAGGTTAAGAATTATATTCCTGGGGGCATAAAAATAATAAATTGTGGAAATTCATGTGACAAAATGAAAAGGAACTTTAACTGAACCTATATCTATATTTATATCTTTTTTTTTTGGGGAGGGGGGTCCAGTCGTGTGGCCTGAACTCTTGGCCTGGGCACTGTCCCTCAGCTCTTCAGCTCAAGGCTAGCGCTGTACCACTTAAGCCACAGAGCCACTTCCGGCTTTTTTCTTTTTGCTTATGTGGTGCTGAGGAATCCAACCCAGGGCCTCATGCATGCAAGGCGAGCGCTCTACCACTGAGCCACCTTCCCAGCCCCTAAATTGTAGTTTTTTTGAGAGCTGATAAATGGTAGTTGGTTTTTTTTTTTTTTTTTGCCAGTCTTTGAGCTTGAACTCAGGGTCTGGACACTGTCCTTGAGCTTCTTTAGTTCAAGGCTAGCACTTTACCATTTGAGCCACAGTGCCACTTCAGGGTTTTTTTTTCTGTGTATGCGGTACTGAAGAATCGAACCAAGGGCTTCATTCATGCTAGGCAAGCACTCTACCACTAAGCCACATTCCCAGCCCTCATAAATGGAAGTTTTAGCTAATACATTCAGTCATGTACATGTTCAAGGACAAGAGAACACATAATCAGTATCCAGAAGTTTTGGTTCATTATTCCACTAGGAATTTTTTGAAGGGAAGTTTTTGAAGGAAAACCACCATCTTCTGCTGGAATTTGAATTTTTTAGTCCAAGCTTTTGCTTGGGTTCCTGCTTAGAGATCTGTATGTTCCATTTCCAGAGATGCATTTCTGGAGGCTAGAAGTTTGGATCAAGGTGTTAGCAGGCTCTTAGGGCTATAGAGGGAGGATCTGCTCCAGGCTTCTTGGCTGCTACATGGCCATTTTCTTCCTACCTTTTTTTCTTTTGTGGACATTGGGCTTGAACTCAGTCTGGGTGAGCTGTCCCTGAGCCTTTTCTCTCAAGGCTAATACTTTACCACTTTGAGGCACAGAGCCACTTCTGGTTTTTCTGGTGGTTAATTGGAGATGAGAGTCTCCAGGACTTTCCTGCTCAGGCTGGCTTTGAGCTGGGATCCTCAGATCTCAGCCTCCTGAGTAGCTAGGATTATAGGTGTGAGCTACCAACACCTGGCATTATTAGCTTATTTGACCATTAAAACAAGTCTTTGAGGGGCTGGGAAGGTGGCTCAGTGGTAGAGCGCTTGTCTTGCATGCCTCAGGCCCTGGGTTCGATTCCTCAGCACCACATAAGCAAAAAGAAAAAAGCCGGAAGTGGCGCTGTGGCTCAAGTGGTAGAGCACTAGCCTTGAGCTGAAGAGCTGAGGGACAGTGCCCAGGCCCAGAGTTCAGGCCCCACGACTGGACCAAAAAAAAAAACACCCAAGTCTTTGAGACAGGAGTTATTTTTAGGAAGGGAAAAATTGACCTCCGGGAGATGAACTAACCAACAAAAATCTGGAGTCGGAGGTATGGCTCAAGTGGTAGAGTACCAGTCTTGAGCAAAAAAGATAAGCAAGAACATTAGGCTCTAAACCTATCTCCCTAGTGGATTTATAAATTCATGGTTTTTTCTTTTTGCTTATGGGGCTTGAACTCTGGTCCTAGGTGCTGTCCCTCAGCTCTTCAGCTCAAGGCAAGTGTTCTACCACTCGAGTCACAGAGCCACTTCCAGTTTTCTGAGTGGTTTATTGGAGATAAGAGTCTCACAGACTTTCCTGCCCAGGCTGGCTTTTAACTGAGATCCTCAGCTCTCAGCTTCCTGAGTAGCTAGGATTACAGGTGAGAGCCACCAGCATCTGGCTTTCATTTCATGTCTTTAGGCACTGGTTCCTATTTTGTGTTGCACCCATTTCTGTCCTCTTATCTATCAACTTCCATGATTAATTTGCTTTATCTTTTATTCTTTTACCAGCTGAATCCTTCAAAGAATTTGCTGAATTGCTCAATGAAGTTGAAAACGAGAGGATGATGATGGTAGGTCACTCAGCCTGTTGCTGAGATCAGAGCTGGTATTGGGGATTCTTTTCTGTCTTCACTGACCTTGATTCTCTATTGTGTCAGTCCTGACTCATGGCTTCCTCATGTTCACTAATAGATCTGTTATTTCACTCAAGCTCTCACATTGCCTATTTGGCATTTGGTAGAGGAGATAGATGGGAGAAGTTCATCGTTACTCCTTTCAGCTACAAAAGATTTCAGAGGAGCTTAAATTGTATGCTTGAATATGTTCACAAAACTTGTAGTTTTTAGTATTTCGAATCAACTTATCTATTTAGTAATGTTTCTCTGCTGCCAGAAATACTAATATGGGCTTTGTTTGTATCTGACAAATGATTGTTTTATTAAAGTCTATTTTTCCTTACATTTATTGGTTTGTGTGTGTGCATACATGCACACATGTGTGTACATGCTGGTACTAGGGCTTGACTTCAGAGCCTGGGTACTTTCCCTAAAGGTTTTTGGTTCAAGACTGGATATCTATCACTTGAGGCATACCTCACTTCTTGTTTTTACTGGTAAATTGGAGATAAGAGACTTTTGAGTTTGCTTGCCTGGGTTGGATTTGAAATATCTTGTCATGCCTCAGACTTTCCTGAGTAGCTAGAATTATGGCACAAATCACTGGCTTGGAGCATGTCTTTTTTTAAAGTAATAGACCAAAGCCTATTTTTGAGCACTTTAAATGTTACAGAAAGAATGAGTGAAAAGTACAGTGAGTGCTCTTACAAACATCTTGCAAGTATAGTATGTTTTATTATAATTGATAAGTGTAGCCAACATTGACACAATATGATGAACTAAATTCCATTGTAAAATATGTTAGGCTTCATTTTTTGTGAGTTTGACAAATGTGTAATGACATGGATCCACCATTATACTACCATTGTACACAACAGTTTCATGATCCTAAATATTCCTTGTGTTCTTCCTCTAGCAACAAAACTTTAAAAGCCACTGGTCTTTCCTTTTCCCCAGAATGACATATGATAAGAATACTGCAATATGTACCTTTAGCATTATGCATTTAAAGTTCTTTTACATCTTTTTGTGGCTACGTAGCTCTTTTCTTTCTGTTTTTATCATTAAATGATATTTCATTGTATGATATGATTTATCCATTTACCTTCTGAAGGATATCTTGGTTGATAGTCAATTCCAGTCAGTATGGAAAAAAGCTGTTTTGGGGCTGGGAAGGTGGCTCAGTGGTAGAGCGCTTGCCTTGCATGCATGAGGCCCTGGGTTCGATTCCTCAGCACCACATAAGCAAAAAGAGAAAAAGCCGGAAGTGGCGCTGTGGCTCAAGTGGTAGAGCTCAGGGACAGCGCCCAAGCCCAGAGTTCAGGCCCCATGACCAGACCCCAAAAAAAAGCTGTTTTCTGTCAGTTGTGGGACTTGAACTCAGGACCTGGGCACTGTCCCTGAGCCTCTTTGTGCTCAAGCTAACGCTCTACTACTTGAGCCACAATGCCACTTCTGGTTTTTGAGTGCTTAATTGGAGATAAGTGTCTTGTGGGGACTTTTCTGCCTGAGATGGCTTCAAACAGCAATACTCAGATTTCAGCTTCCTGAGTAGCTAGGAACCCAGGTGTGAGCCACCAGCACCTGGTTGCTATAAACTTTACTGTTTAGATTTTTGTATGTATATAAGCTCTTCACTCACTTGATTAGGTATTAAAGAATGTAAACTTCTGGATCATATGGTAAGTGTGAGTAAGAAACTGCCAGAGCATTCCAAGTGGTAGATGGGAGTTCCATGTCATTTGTCAGTGGTCTGAATTTTGGTCATTCTAAAAAGTATACAAAGAGTAGTTCATTGTTGTTTTAATTTTTGATTTCTTAGTGTCATGTGATGGGGAGCAATGTTTCATATGCTTATTTGCCATCTGCATATCTTTTCTGAGGCAATGTCTGTCTAGGCTTGCTTCTTCCAGTTTTTAATTTGGTTATTTACTATTGTCAAGTTTTAGGATTTCTTTGTGTGTTTTAGATGCCAGTCCTTATTGGATATAAGTTTTCTTCTAGGAGAAATCTATGGTGTGTCTTATCATTTTCTTTTTTTTTTTTTTTTGGGTCCGGTCGTGGGACCTGAACTCTGGGCCTGGGCACTGTCCCTCAGCTCTTCAGCTCAAGGCTAGCACTCTACCACTTGAGCCACAGTGCCACTTCCGGCTTTTTTCTTTTTGCTTATGTGGTGCTGAGGAATCGAACTCAGGGCCTCGAGCATGCAAGGCAAGCGCTCTACCACTGAGCCAACTTCCCAGCCCTCTTATCATTTTCTTAACAATATCTTTTGTAGAGCACAAACTTTTTTTTTTTTTTTTGGCCAGTCCTGGGGCTTGAACTCAGGGGCTGAGCACAGTCCCTGAGCTTCTTTTGCTCAAGGCTAGCACTCTACCACTTAAGCCACAGCACCACTTCTGGCTTTTTCTGTTTCTGTGATACTGAGGAATCGAACCCAGAGCTTCCTGCATGCTAGGCAAGCACCCTACTAGTAAGCTACATTCCCAGCCCCATAAACTTTTAATTTTAGTAAAGTCCAATGTATGAATTTTTTCTTTGATCAGTCATACTTTTGATGTTATATCAACAAGTCATCACCAAAGCTAAAGCCATCTCGATTTTCTTCTGTGTTCATTGTAAAGGACCCCAGAACTTTCCACATCCTAAGCAAGCACTCTACAATTGTGCTGCATTTCTAAGTCTCTATATTATCTTCCAGGACTTTTGTACAATTAACTCTGTGATCCTTTCTGATTAATTTATGAAGACTTTAAGATTAGTGTCTAGATTCTTTTTTTCCATTTAATTGCCCTTTCTTCCAGCACTATTTGTAAGACTTGGCTTTTTTGTTCTTTATCTAATTAAACTAAAGGTCAACTGACTGTACTTGTGTGGATCCATTTCTGGGCTTTGCATTCTGTTCTATGGTTGTATTTGCCTATTATTTCCCCAGTGCCACATTGCTGTCTTACTATAACTTTTTAGAGTCTTGAAGTTAGAGATAAACTTTACAATCATTTAATAGCCACAAAAGAAGTTGCCAGCATTTTGGTTGTAGATCTGGTAGAGAAGGACTGCCATCTTGACAGTGGCGACTTTGTATCTTGGAACACAGATTAGCTCTCTGTTGATTTGTATCTTAGTTGGTTTATTTAATCAGGTTTTATAATTTCTTCATATAGGTCTTTCATATATGTTTCTAGACTTGTACCCAAGAATTTCGTGTTTTTGTGCATGGAGTCTTAATTATTTTATTAGTTTCAAATATTTTTTAGGGGGCTGGGAATATGGCTTAGTGTGGTAGAGTACTCACCTAGCATGCATGAAGCCCTGGGTTTGATTCCTCAGTACCATATACACAGAAAAAGCTGGAAGTGGCACTGTGGCTCACATGGTAGAGTGTTAGCCTTGAACACAGAGAGTCTCAGGGACAGAGTCCAGGCCCTGAGTTCAACCACCAAAAAAAATGATCTGTGTGTGTGTGTGTGTGTGTGTGTGTGTGTGTTTGTGTACTAGGCCTGAATTCTCAGACTCATTCGGAAATTGATCTTGGCCCCACCTTTGGGATTTAAATATGGAAATCCTTTCATTAATCATTGTTCATATTTATTAGGAAATGGTGTAAGGGACTGCAAAGGGAGCTACCTCCTGTGATTCTGAGTAGCCTTTTAAAAAATCAGCACCTCAGTTTTTTTTTTAATGGTTTGCATGCATCTCAGGTTTTTAAACGCATTGATTCCAATAACAAGAGGGTTTTCTCGCTCTCTCTACTTCCCTCCCTTCCTCTTCCTGTTTCTCTCTCAACTGTTTGAACTAAGGGCTTCATACATGCTGGGTAAGTGCTGTATTACTGAACCATGCCTCCAGCCCAGAGAGTTCTTTCATCCACAATCTCCCTTCCTTTCAACAGTGTAGTGCTAGCATCTCAGAATACTACTCTTCTTTTCCCTTGGTTCGTGGAGAAGTAGAATTGAAGATAAGCCTGTATGGCACTACTTACTGGTTGTTTTCAGATTAATCACTATTTTTCTAGACCCTCGTATATTTTTTATAAAGTGAAGAAAACAATCCCTACCTGTAATAGTTAACATGAAATACTCCAAATGATATAATACATATAGATGTATTTTATAAATTATATTATATATGTTGTTTTTAGTTATCTTCGATTTCTCATGAAAATCTGCTTATGGAAATATTACTTAAGACTTTCATACTTTAAAAAATTTGCTTTTAGCTGGTTACCAGTAGCTTATATCTGTAAATCCTAGCTACTCAGGAAGGTGAGAGCTGAAAATCACAGTTCCAAGCTAATCCAGACAGAAAAGTTTGTGAGAGTCTTAATTTCAATTAAACAGCAAAATTCTGGAAGTGCTGCTGTGGGGGCCACATTGTTGGTGCCTCTTTGCAGAAAATAGACTTTATAGAGAGTACAAATCGTATAATTCTTTTTTCTTTCTTTTTTTTTGGGGGGGGGGGTCCGAACTCTGGGCCTGGGCGCTGTCCCTCAGCTCTTCAGCTCAAGGGGAGCACTCTACCACTTGAGCCACAGCACCACTTCTGGCTTTTTTTTCTGCTTATATGGTGCTGAGGAATGCATGCAAGGCAAGCGTTTTACCACTGAGCCACCTTCCTAGCCCCAATATAATTCTTTAATAAGACGAAGTCAAAGCCCAACAAAATAAGAACCAGGACATGGGTACTTGCAAGAGGTGAGGGTGGGGCAAAAGGGAGAACTGTAGGGGAATGAAAGGAGAAGTGAGGAGAAGGCAGGCAAGACTTCATTCTATATACCACAGAATTGAGAAATATAAAGGCAGGACTAGGTCGAAGAGGGTTGAAGATGTTGAAGTGATGACACAGATCAAGATACATTGTACACATAAATTTCTTTTTTTAGATGGCGAAAAACTCAATACATAACCTAAAATTAAGATAAGATAGGGAAAGAGTGGATTGGGAAGGGTGAGTGAGAATTTTGAAGGGGATGAATGTCAACAACTCCTTGGTACAACTACTTAAAGATAATAAAATATTCCAAAAAAGTTACAAAATCTCCGAAAGAAAAATCCGGAAGTGGAGCTGGGGCTCAAGTGGTAGAGTGTTAGAACTTGAGCAAAAAAACCACTAAGGGACAATAATTACCCTGGCCATGAATTTAAATCCCAGTACTGGAACAAACAAAAAAGAAATTTGCTTCTAAAGCCACTGAGAGACCAACATGAATGGTTTCTAAGAAGTCTCATAGATTGCGCCCAGCAGCTAATCTACACTATTCCTGATTGTTCTTTTTGCCCAAAGTCCTTATGGACGGGTGTTCATGTTTCCAGAGGTATTCCCTCTCCACTCTGTACATTGTTTCTTGATCTCTTTCATTTACCCTTTAACAAAACTCTAAAACATTGAAGTAGGATTCATCTTTTGAGATTTTATTCTCACCCTTCTTGCTGGCTTGTTATAGCTACATGACTGACTCATGTACTTCAGTTTCTCATTATGTTAGGCCCTTTTGTTTCCCAGGATTCTTCAATCATATATTGTGTGTGCTCCCCATTTTCCACTTAATTCCAGGAGTTCTGTGAAGGTTAATGTGAGCCTTTGATGCCATGCTTGATTGGACCCTTCCATTTTTCTGGGAGGGAGGGGGTGGCAAAATGACTATCATCTACCCTCATCTGAATAATCTGGGAGATGTGTATCAGCTTTGTATCCCTCCTAAAGTAAAAGTTTAAGATAAGATTTGAAGTAACAGCATGAAGGTTAGAACTCCAGAAGGTATTAATAATGTGTGATTATTCATCTCCATAAATGAATAGAACTTGTGGCAGGAGGTATGAAGGGAGGCAATGTGGAGGATCCCATATGTGATGCACTTACAAGTACTCTGGAAGGGATTGTAGTTCTTCAGAGGTTGTCTGTATGCATCTGGATTGCAGACTTCCTGCATAAATAGGAAACTTATTTACCTCCTTTTCTTCTTCTATGGGGGGCCTCTGTCTTTGAAGAGTGCCAAAAATAAAATAAGGAAGCCCTTAGGTCCTCACTCTCAAAGAACATATCTGCAGTGCTCTTTCTTTCTTTCTTAACTCAGGGTCTGGGTATTGTCCCTTAACTTTTTTTTTCTCCTCAAGGCTGGTGCTCTACCACTTGCGTTCCACTTCTGACTTTTTGGCAGTTAATTGGAGTTTGCTCTAAGAGTTACACGAACTTTCGTGCCTGGGCTGGTTTTGAACCCCTATTCTCAGATCTCAACCTTCTGATTAACTAGGATTATTGTATGAGCCACCAATACCCAGTTTAACAACGTGCTGTTCTAAAACTAAAACTGTTCAGTTAGGTCTGATTAGTTTGTTGGTCAGGAATTCAGGCATTTTTTTCTGTCTGAATTCTACCTCCACAGAGGTTCTTCTTATAGGATGAATTAATGAATCTTCCTACCTCTGGGTAATTAATGTACTCAGGGATGTAGGGATGTTAAAGGTCACATGGGGAGGTAGGTTATAATGTATTTAGAGCCAGTAGAATCTAGAAACAGATTTCCTATATCCAGTAGATGAGTAGTAGTGATGATAATCACAAAGGGTAGGTGTGGAAGCCTTTGTAGGCAAATGGTCTGGTTCCCCACCTTCCCCTGCTTTTTTGCATTAGTGTTGTAGATTGAACTCAGGGCCTTAGCTTTTTCACTCAAGGCACTTGAGCTCCATATCTACTTCTGGCTTTTTGATGGTTAACTGGAAAGAAGATTCTCATGAATTTGTCTGCCAAGGCCAGCTTTGAACCTCGATCCTCACATCTCATCCTTTTGAGTAGCTAGGATTACAGATATGAGTCACTGACATCCCGCAAGGTATGTTTATATGAGTTAACAAGGTAAGGATGGATTATGTGATTTCCTGTGTTTAGACTTGTATTAAACGGAGTTTTGAAAATGAGCTATAGAAATGATGGTCAACAGTAGACATACAGGGGAAAGGCTCTTAAGGAAAAACTTGAGTATTTTTATATTTTCTGCAAGTTTGGCAGTCTTGGAGGGCAATATTAAGAGCTTCAATAGATCAGAATATCCAGCTTCATATAAAGGTTTTTATCACTTGTTAGATATTTGTTCAGTAAGCTGAACACTGAACCTAGACAAAACAGGATGCCCAAGTTATTTGTAGTTCATGTATACATGAAGACCCCAACTTTCCATGCTTTTTTGTGGTAGATTGAAAATTGCTTTTTAGTTTGGAAAATTGTAGACTGGTCAATAATGACTTTCCATGACATTCTCTCCCCCCCCCCCCCCCCCCCCCCCCCCCATTAGTCATGGGGGCTTGAACTCTGGGCCTGGGTGCTATCCCTGAGCTCTTCAGCTGGGCTAGCACTCTACCACTTGAGCCACCAGTGCCACTTCCTGTTTTCTGGTGGTTTTATTGGAGATAAAGAGTTTTAGGTACTTTCCTGCCTGGACTGGCTTTGAACCACCGTCCTCAGATCTCAGCCTCCTGAGTAGCTAGGATTACAGGTGTGAGCCACCAGCACCTGGCCTTCCGTATTCTCATTCTCTCTCTATTTCTCTTTCTCTATTTTTCTCTCTACTTCTTTCTCTCTGTGATCAACCCCATGGCCTTGCATGTGCAAAACATATACTACCTGTCATCTTTCTCCTCAGCTCCACTCTTCTATTTTTGGCATGGAGACATATTACTGATAACGTTTGTCTTATCCAACAAGTAAGTTAACCCTGCATTTCCCTTTTCTTACAATAGATGGCTGTGAATGCAGGTGCTAAAAGCCAGCCCTTTAGTTGCTTTCTCTGAGGTCTTCCATTATGGTGGGGTTGATTCACCCAGAGGAAATACACCTTACTTATTGCCCCAGACAGATATGGTCACCAAGACACTTGGATGAAGCAAAAGCTTGGTATAATCGTCACCTGTCCATAGATCAAGGGCTTCATTTTGAGTTTGATGATTTTATGTGTCCAGGACCTATTATTACTTATATTTGTAGTACCTGGCTAGGCCATTCCTATCAGCTTCCAAACATATATAGTTAGGTAAGATGAAAAGTTAGCCTAATGTTCTCTAATATCATAGCACAGGGCTTCTACTTCTAAAGGAAATATTCTGTTTCAATGACACATTGGATCAGGAACTAGAGTAGTTTGTTATAGGATCTACCCTAATGCAAACTCATTTGAGTCCCATGAAATCATTTGTACTTAGTATATTGGCTTTTCTAGGTATTTGCCCATTCTCTTTCTGTCTCCCCACCCCACTTCTTTTTGGACATGACTCCAGATATTTATTATTTAAAAACTCCACAGTGTTGAAAGAAACAGTAACAACCCTTGTCAACCAGAACACCAGTTAGCATGCTGGTTGGTTTGACAATTAGAATTGAACCCAGGGCCTTGCTAATGTTAATCACATTCCTAATCACTGAGCTACACTCATACCTCCAGTCAGTATTTTGCAGGATGATGTATTAAAAGAAAATGACCTAGTAATAAGCAAATTTGTACCAGAATCTTATTAACCTAAAGTTATTTTGAGTGTTTTTTTTCTTTTTCTATAGGTGCAAAATGCCAGTGATTTGCTGATCAAACCCCTTGAAAATTTCCGGAAAGAACAAATAGGTTTCACAAAGGTATGTTTTCTTTATTAGTTAAAATGGAGCCAATAGGTTTTATGTTCTTTGTTCTTATTGAGGAAATTAAATTTTCTATGATTATCATTTATCCAGAACATAAAAGAAAATAGCATAGAACTATTTTGTTGGTTAACTTTTTTTGGTGTCAGACCTGGGGCTTGAATTCAGGGTTTAGGTGCTATCCCTGACCTTTTTTCCTCCAGTCTAGCACTCTACTACTTGAGCTACATCTCCACTCAGGAGGCTGAGATCTGAGCACTGCAGTTTGGTGCCAGCCTGGACAGGAAAGTCTGGGAGATTCAATTTAACCACCAATTTGGAAGTAAAGCTTTTTCTGCTCAAGGCTGGTGTTCTACATAGGAGCCACAGACTCATTTCCAGATTTTGGGTGGTTAAATGAGGATAGGAATCTCACAGACTTTCTTGTCTAGGCTGGCTTTGAGCCTCAATCCTCAGATCTCAGTTGCCTGAGTAACTAGGATTACAGTTGTGAATCAGTTATGCCAAACATGGATTTATTTTCTCTGTCTCTGTTTCTGTGTCTCTCTCTTTGGTGCCAGTACTGGGGTCTGAACTCAGGGCCTGAGAACTGTCCCTGAGTTTTTTTGCTCAAAGATGTCACTCTGCGGGGCTGGGAAGATGGCTCAGTGGTAGAGCGCTTGGCTTGCATGCGTGAGGCCCTGGGTTCGATTCCCCAGCACCACATAAGCAAAAAGAAAAAAAAAGCCAGAAGTGGAGCTGTGGCTTTAGTGGTAGAGCGCTAGCCTTGAGCTGAAGAGCTGAGGGACAGCATCCAGGCTGTCCCTCAGGCTCCACGACCAGACCTCCCCCCCCCCCCCCCCAAAAAAAAAAAAAAAAAAAAAAGATGTCACTCTGCTACTTGGGCCACAGCTGCACTTCTACCTTTTTTCTGGTTAATTAGATGTGAGAGTCTCACAGATATTCCTACCCTGGCTGGCTTTGAAATTCAATCCTCAGATCTCAGTAGCTATAATTACAGGAATGAACTACCATAAATTTATATTTCCTTCAACCTTGGCTTCATAATTTTATTTTTTTTTGGTTGGTAGTGGGGCTTGAACAGTGCTTCTCGCTCTCACTTTTCTTTTATACCCAAGGCTGATGCTTTACCACTTGAGCCATAGTTTTGTTTCCTCTCTTAAACTTCAAAACAACCCTGAGGAAAAGAGATTTCCTACTAACATCGAAGGTATGATGGTTGAATGGGATGTGATAGCTAAGGTCTCACAGCCAGAGTGTGGCAGAGCTTTTGAAATTTATTCCTCTATAGTCCTCCGCTCTACCAACTGAGCTATGGAAGGATTCACACTGAAATTTATTCCTAATTGTTAATCTAGGGCTCATTTCACTTATGGAATACCGAGTCTCACCATGGTCTCAGTAATCTTTTTTATTTTTTATTTTCTAATTTTTAATTTTTATTTTATTGTAAAGGTGATCTACAGAGAGGTTATAGTTACATAAGTAAGGTAGTGGGTACATTTCTTTTTGAACAGTGTTACCCCCCTGCCTCATTTTCTCCCATCCATCCATACTCCTTTCCTCCAAGTTGTAAAGTTCATTTCCAACATAGTGTCTTGTGAGTATCGCTGTTGCACTGGTTTCAGTGATCTTACATTTATGATAAGAACAGAAATCAAATAATGCCTAATCAGATATTTCCTTAGTTTAAGAATCTAAAGGTAAATAACTGTGTGTCTGTTGAATACTTAAAAGTGAGTTATTTAGAATTCAGTGTGTTGTGAATATAAGACCTACCTTGGATTTTGAAAACAGTATGAACAATGTAAAATATAATCTTCATAGGTTACACGGATTACATGTTGAATTGTTAATATTTTTTGATATACAGTTAGCTCTGGATATTCATGAGATCTGCATCCAAGAATTTAACCAACTATGGAGAGAAAACATTCAGGAAGAGTTATGTCTGAGGGCTGGTTGTATGGTATAAGTAGTAGTTTGCCTAATAAGCATAAGATCCTGAGTTCAAATCCCAATACTGGCTAAATAAATTCTAAAGGCAAAAAGAAGTATGTCTGTACTCAATGTACAGATATTCTTCTTGCTTCTATTCCCTGAACAGGGAAGTGTAACAATTACTAACATAACATTGTATTGTGTTCATTATTATAGGAATTCTAGAGAATATTTAAAGTATGTAACAAGATATACATAGGTTATATGCAAATACTATGTAATTTGAAGGTCTTGAGCATCTGTGCACTTTAGTGTATGAAGTGGATCCTAGGGGGGAAAAATCCTCCATGCAAACACCAAGCCAAAGTGATATTGGGTTCAATATGCTATTGAATTAATTTTACATTTGTACAGGAAGCATGGATCAAGTGGTGTAGAGCACCACCCATGACCATGTTCCAGCCTAATGGTCAGGCATAGTTTTGTGGGCTTATGCAGACTCCATTTGCAGGCTAGTGAGCTGTGTTGTCAATGTGAATGAATGTTTGGGTTCTAGTGGACAGGTCTGACTCACCACTAATCTTAAAGACTGCTTTGCAATGGAGTAATTTCCCAAAGACAACAGTTCTCTCTATATGAGCCATTTTGTGATGCTGTGGGCATTGACTTCTGTTCTACCAGGACTCCTAGGTGGTTTTCAGGTGGATGGCTTCCCAAGCATGGCATAATGGCACACATGATCTCAGGGGTCTCATCTCCACCAGCAGCTTCTTGTTCACGAGAAATTGGATGAAGCCCCTAAACCCTACTCCAGCCAGGGCCCTTTTCCTTGGATTTATAAATGGATTTGTGGGTTACTTCTTTTCTCTCCCCTCCCCTCCCCTCCCCTCCCCTCCCCTCCCCTCCCCTCCCCTCCCCTCCCCTCCCCTCCCCCTCGTCTACTCTTTTTTCTCCCCCTCCCCCCCTTCTTGTCTCCTCTTCTGTTTCCATTTTTGTTCATTGCATTACATTTCTTTTCATTTTGTTGCAGGTTTGTGTTTGTGTGTGTGTGCGCGCGCATGCGTGTGTGTGTGTGTGCGCGCAGCGCGCATGCATGTGCGTGCATGCGAGCTGATATGGGGACTTGAAATCATGGCTTTGTTGCTTTCCCTTAGCTTTGTCACTCAAGGCTAGTGCTCTACCACTTGAGTCACACCTCCATTTTTTTTTATTGGTTGTGGGGCTTGAACTCTCGGCCTGAACGCTGTCACTGAGTTGTTCAGTTCAAGGACATTGCTCTATCACTTGAGCCACAGAGCCACTTCCAGTTTTCTGGTAGTTAGTTGGAGATGAGTCTCACAGGAACTTTCCTGCCTGAGCTGGATTTGAACTGCAATCCTCAGATCTCAGCCTCCTGAGTAGCAGGATTACAGGTGTGAGCCACCAGCACCTGCCACACAGCTCCACTTTTAACTGGTTAATTGGAGATAAGTTTCACAGTTTCCTGCCTGGGCTGGCTTGGAACCATGATCCTCAGAGCTCAGCCACCTGAGTAGCTAGGGTTACAGGCCTGATCCATTGGTGCCTGGACAGGCATTTGTTTTAAAATAGTATTTGGGCTGGGCACTGGTGGCTTGTGCCTATTAATCCTAGCTACTTAGGAAGCTGAGATTTTTTTTTTTTTTTTTTTTTTTTTTTTGCCACTCCTGAGGCTTGAATGTAGGGCCTGGACACTGTCTCTGAGCTTCTTTTCTTTTCTTTTTTTTTGGGTTCGGTCGTGGGGCCTGAACTCTGGGCCTGGATGCTGTCCCTCAGCTCTTCAGCTCAAGGCTAGCACTCTACCACTTGAGCCAC